TGTTACAATAAATTGAAGGTTACAAGAGCTATTGCAAATTTGCGGGAAGAATACATAAAATTTCCTCAAACAGAAGAAGAAATCTCTATAGTGCAGCAAGGTTTTTATCAACTTGCAAGATTCCCACGAGTTGTTGGTGCTTTAGATTGCACACATATCAAAATAAAGTCACCGGGTATGTTAATAAGGTATTTTGTGTTAACGGACATTAGTATAGAAAATTTTGCAGGTGGAGAAAATGCTGAAATTTATCGCAATCGGAAAAATTTTTTCTCCCTGAATGTGCAAACAATTGCTGCTTCTAATTTAAAAATAATAAATATTGTAGCAAGATGGCCCGGTTCTGCTCACGACTCAACAATTTTTAGAAATTCTGAGATTTGCAGAAAATTTCAAAATGCAGAAATGGAGCGTGCAATACTTGTTGGGGATGCAGGTTACCCTATTCAAAATTTTTTAATGACGCCATTGGCAGTGACAAATACAATTGCTCAAAATTTATATAACGAGTCACTGATTAGAACACGAAACCCAGTTGAACGTTCTTATGGTGTTTGGAAACGACGCTTCCCGATTTTAAGCAATGGCATAAATCTACACCTACGAATGGTTCCCTGGGTAATTGTAGCCACAGCAGTCTTGCATAATATCGCAATTTTAAACGACGAAGATGAACCACCTCCCTTAAATCTCGAAGAGCAAAGAGCTTTTGATTTGGCAGATGATGTACCAGTTGCTGATGATGTAAATAGAAATAATAACAACAGAGCAAGAAATGAATTCATTGCATATTTTGCAAATTTGTAAATTTACATACATAATGTAGAAGTTTATAAATTATTTCTAAATTCATTAAATGCAATTTCAGCTCATGTTCCGCTCTATGCTTTAGTTGGTTTAGTATTTTTCATTGTTCACATCACTTATGTATTCATCTAACCAAGTAAATAAAAACAAAATTATATGAAATTAATTTATTATATCTCACTGATTTACTGATTATTATCAACATCGGAGAACGTGATTTGTTGTTTCAACAATGTCATCCTTAATGCATGCTCCTCCTGCATTAATTTCAATTTTACACAATGTTCTTCTTCACGATGTCGCAGTTTTTGCTCATGTTCCTCCTGCAATTGGTTCTTCATTATTGCATGGATTTCCTGTTTTTGCTTGTGGTCTTCTTCAAGTAACTTTTTTTTGAAAACTGAGTTGTTCCTTTTCTCGTCGGCAAGCTGACACCATTTGTAATTAGTAATATTTCCACCCACTCTTATTTTACCTGCGGAGTACATTTTATTTTCAAAGTTACTTATTACTATTATTAATTATGTCAAATCACCTTTCTTTGAAACATGTAGTGGTTTCGAGGGAAGCTTTTTTAACATCCTTGGAGTGTATTGTGACCAGTCTGAAAAAAAAAATAACCATGTGTTTAATGTTTAACAACACTTTATATCTTACCTAATTCATTTTCCTGCGTATCCCCCGGTTGTGCAACTACGTCTTCTTCTAAAACTAAAAATAAAATATATATTATAATTTTAATAACAATTAATTTATTACTTTGCACTTACCTAATTGTGATGAAGAGGCACTGTTTTCTGTGAAGAAGCTGTTTGACGTCCCCATATTCTCTACAAAAAAGGTGTTATTATGAAATTTACAAGTATGTATATATTTTTTGTATAGCTACCTTCATTTTCAATCTCTGGGACAATTGAATCCTCAATTTCATTTCCGTTTCTTATTTCTTCTACATCTAAAACTTAAGAATCAATTATAACCATGTTGTTGTTATTTTAATGTCTAATAAGTGATAACTTACCATCATTATCACACACCGCTGGTAAACCTGTCAATCTGTCTCCCAAAATTTCGCGGACAGTTGCGTCTACTGACGTCTCTGTTGGGCCTTTGGAGGGACCACCGCCAGTGCCTCGTGCGTATTTTTTATCGTGGGCAAAATTGCGAACTGCGGTTTTTTTTAAATTTGTCCATTTGTCTTTTAGATTCCTGGACGTTCGAGGCACGGTACCAGAAATGGCATTAAATGTTTCTGTCAACTTCTCCCAGGCTATCCCCTTTTGCTTATTATTGACGATTCCAGTTTCTTTGCACTCGATCACCTTCTTGTTTTGTCTAACCAAATCTACAAGTAGGCAAATTTCTTGTGTTTCAAAATTTTTTGATCTAACACGTTCACGTTCACTGTTCATCCTGTAGCTTTTATTATATACTTAACAGAGAAAAAAAACACAACAACAGGCACGAGGTACACGAGAAAACGAGGTTAGAATGGTGATTAATAACAAGAACAACTGTCAAAACTGGTCTTCAAAATGTCTCCCAAAATTTCGCGGACAGTGGCGTCTACTGCGCATGTGTTAACCAAAAAAATAATGGTTAAACCACCTAGCTGGGCTGGGTTAAAGTAACCAAGAAATTTAACCGTCAAATATCTTAACCCCACACTGAAATACACTTAACCAAAACTTTTTTTGGTTAACTATAATTTCTTGGTTTAACCAACAACTGAAATACCGGGCCTAAGCGCGAAACTAAAGAATAGACGCTTGCCCCAAAATAGGGATTATTATTACGGATAGTAAAACTTCATAATTTGTACTTGACTTGTAGAAACATTTTTTGTTAAGTTTCTAGGATTTTAAATAACTATTAATAATATTTTTAGGAATTTAGAGTTTACAAAGGTTTTCGTCATCAACCTCGGATTTATGAATTACAAATGACTTAAATTTTATAGTCTCGCTTGTGATTTCAAAGGGCAGTATACGATAAGGTTCCAAATTCGGCCTGGCATTAATTACGGATATATCTACACCTAATGAAGCCAGTTGGCTCCAATGATTAATTTAAACCAAAACATCCAAAATAAACTCAAATTCTACTATTTACATCAACAAAAAAGAAAAATATATCAAAAATTCATTGAAGTCTGTACCGGTTTCGCGAAACTCCAGCATTTAAATAAATACTTGCATTTTCACAACATTTTCAAACATGGGACTGACTCTGCTAAGACCATTTAGGACAACACATCACAAAAAATTAATAATCTAAAACCTCCTTCTTTGGAGATCCAGAAGGTGGTAACCCTGGAATTAGTCTTTCTGAAAGGAGTGACTGCATACTCGCAGCATCGTAGAACTTTGCACACACATTGTCGAGACACTAGAATAACATATTAGAAAATCCAGGATTAGCGCTCTCTTGTTTTGGAGATCCAGAGGATTGTATATCTGGAATTTGTGTTCTTGTAAGGAATGACTGCATACTCGCAGCATTATAGATGTTTGCACACATATTGCTGAGACAATTTAGAATAACATGAAAAAATTGAGGATTAGCCCTCTCTTGTTTTAGAGATCCAGAGGGTGGTAAATCTGGAATTGTGGAATTAGTCCCTTTTTAAGAATGACTGCATACTCGCAGCATCATAGAGCTTTGCACACACGTTGCTGAGACAATTTAGAATAACATATGAAAAAATTGAGGATTAGCCCTTTCTTGTTTTAGAGATCTAGAGGGTGGTAATTCTGAATTTGTTTCTCAGAACACGATATTGCATACTCGCAGCCTCAAGAAATGTTACAAAAGTACTTCGGAAGCAATTCAAGACGAAATATTCAAAAATTGAGAATTCGCTCTCTTTTGTTTTAGAATTAATGAGAGTGGAATAACAGAAATTAGTCGTCCTGAAATTAACGACGGCATCATCGCAGGATCATGAAACTTTGCACAAATGTTTCCAAAGTAATCCAGGACAAAATAGTGAAAAATTGTGAGTTCGCTTTCTCTTGTTTTGCAGTTACAGGAGGTGGTAATTCCGAATTAGTCTTTCAGAATGCAATGACTGCATACTCGCAGCATCATGAAAGTTTACACAAGCGTTCTTTGGGTAATTCAAGACAAAATATTAAAAAATTGGGAATTCGCTATCTTTTGCTTTGAAGTCAAAGAGAGTGGAATATCAGAAATTAGTCGTCCAGAAATTAACGACTACATAATCGCAGTATCATGAAACTTTGCATAAATGTTCCCGAGGCAATTCGGAATAAAATACTGAAAAATTGGAAATTCGCTTTCTCATGTTTTGGAGATCCAGGTAGTGGTAATTCCGAATTAGTCTCTCAGAAAACAATTACTGCATACTAGCACCATCATGAAACTTTGCACAAGTGTTGTCGAGGCAATTCAAGACGAAATACTAAAAAATTGAGAGTTCGCCTTCTTGTGCTTTGTATAAAGAGAGTGGAATAACAGAAATTGCATAATCGTAGCATCATAAAAATTTTCACAAATGTTCTGGAGGCAATTCAGGACAAAATGAAGAGACTAATTCGAAATTACCACTTTCTAGATCTCCAAAACAGCAGAGGGTTTATGCCCTCTTTTTCAATATTAAGTGTGTTCTGTACCTACTGTTTTATAAGGAACATTTGTCTAAAGTTTTATTATATTATTATACTGCGATGATGCAGTCGTTACTTTCATGACGCTTGATGTGAAATATACCACTTTCTGGATTTCCAACAAGAGAGGACCCTGGCAACATGATGTCGTCTTATTCACGTGAATAAATGGTCAGCAATTACGTCATAGTGACCAAAGATTTCACGTGATATTGACGTACCAATGACGGTCAAATGTCTCGTCCAGATGACGTCATTTTCTGACGAACTATTGACGTGATGTACTGACGTCTTAGAGTCGTCATTTTGTAACGAACTATTGACGTGATGTACTGACGTCTTATAGACGGCATTTATTGTCCATTTTACGACGTTTTTTATATTTTGATTTTTAGAAAAAAATATGCAATAAATAAAACGCTGAAATACTTTTATATTTTTATGTTATTTACCTTAAATAAAATATTATAATTCGTTATAATCACCAGGTAAACCCCAAAACAAAATATGTATTAATTAAAGTTAAAACAAATTAGTGTAAAAAAATTAAATTTACTACAATTCTGTACAACCAACAATGAACTTCAATAAACAAATAAAAAAATATATGTCAATTAAACAAATTAATGATAAACTACTTTTAAGAACACAAACAAATCTACATACAGGAAATTACGAGTCAAATTACTATAAACAAAAAAAAAGATAATATACAATACTAGCGGAACCCGGCAGACGTTGTCCTGCTTGTGTATATATTTACTTTGTATACATGTGGATATAAATGTATGGTCTGGAGCGCAGAATGCGTTGTAGAAAACTGAATAATAAGATAACTCATATTGATGCTATTCCATTTATTTTCATTAGTATACACAATGTACACATTTTTGTATTAGTAATTCACGTGAATGAACAAAATTTTTGACTATTGTATGCGCTATATATGCTAGTCCAAAAGGTATAAGGTTATATGACCATTATAAAAGTAGTTGACCGCAAATAAGTACCCCCTTTGTGTGGTTCGCACTAAGCTTACCCGGTTGGCAATAAATCGTCTTCTCAACATTTCTTGCTCATATTTAACAGGGCCGGCTTTCAAAGCGAGTGGTGATTTCGGAACCCTCAGCGGCTGCAGGTAGTAAAGAAATAATGGAGTGGTGGATTTACATATTTAGTGAAAGCCGTCCCTGAACGAAACCACAACAGCCGGTCGAGCTCCATTGGACACGTTATTTACGACCCTAAAACCTTTTCTATTGTAAACAACTTAACTTCGACACAATGGGATAATTTTATGATGGCCATATAACCTTATAGCTTTTGGTCCACTATAACTGAAACAACTTGAACACATTTTAATCAATACTAACATCTATCGTAACGCTAGTGGGTAAACAATATTTTTGGTTTTTCGATTTGGTGTATAGACGTACAGAGTTTTTGGAATTCCTACTCTGGAGCAAGCAACATACAGTTGACCATGCGAAAAACATGGATTTCCTAAATTTAATCCGGCAACGCGCAGAGACTGCCCTTGGGCTTTGTTGATTGCCATCGCGAAAGCAAGACGCACAGGAAACTGTAGTCGTTTGAATGTAAAGGGCAAATCAGTAGGAACCATTGGAATGCGCGGAATCAGTTTGATTTTTTGGATGACATTTTCAATAATCTCTAGTAATTCACTCTTTGTTATTACTGAGGATTGTAGACAGTGAACATCACTAATGATTTTATTTTGCGGTCAATACGATTTTTGTTGTAATACCAACGAAAACAATGCTGTCATTGGTGCCACCATATATCTAATACTTGCTAACTCTTCAGAAGTAACATAGAAACGGTGTTCACGGACAAAGGGAGACGGAAGATATTGTTTTCTGTCTAGAAAAGTACCGAGGGTCTGTGCGCACGTACACAAAATAGAAGCGAACGTATGAAATGTCAAAACTCTCAAAACACATCTAGTCACGTTATCGACTAAAAATCAAGCAAGTACGAGTATATGAGCAGTACTGTTTGGTACTATAGAGAGACAAAGAGGTCCGATATATTGCTTTGCTGTTGTGTTTTCGGACTCTTTTGAGGCCTGATAGCAATATAGTAGTATTCGATATATGGGTGCCGCTGATTCTCTAAGTTCATAATACTTTAACAGAGAGGCTGATGTGCTGCAGTGCCATCTAGTGGCAAGTTACAGCAAAATCGATAACGCGAAAATATTCTCCATGGTCAAATACCAACGTATATCAATTTTCATGAGGATCGGTTGATTGGTACAGAAGTTGATGTGTTGCAGCGCCATCTAGTGGCGAGTTACAGCAAAATGGATAGGGCGAAAATATTCTCCATAGTCAAATGCCAACGTGTACCAATTTTTATCAGAATCGGTTGAACGGTGTAGAAGTTGATGTGCTGTAGCGCCATCTAGTGGCTAGTTACAGCAAAGCGGATACCACAAAAACCTTCTCCATGAAAAACCACTTACATGTGCCAAATTTCATGGAGATCGGTCAAACGATTTCGGAGTCTATCGATCACAGATATATATATATACCAACATCCATTTTTATATATTAGATATAATCAAAAATAAACGTTGCAATAAAATATGCTATTTAAAGAAAAATCAGTTTTAAAAACACAAAGAAATCTATTTAGTTACAAAGAATATTAAAAGAAAACTATAATAAACTATAAATCAGTCTTAAAAACACAAACAAATCTATTTACAAAAAATATATAAAAAAAAAACTAGAATAAAGGGAAAAGACAGTTGAATCGCATTGTTGAAGTTACTTGCTTTGAAAATACACTGTAAAACTTTCTAATTCACGACGACTTGACTGTCCCCAACACACAAAAAAGTACCGTTAAGAATTAATTCTGTTTTAACAATCATATTAATAACCTAACTTTTTTAAGTTTGCCTTAATTTATTGCACTGAAAAGAAAAACCCATTAGAGTGCATGGATTAATGGAAATGCAAATATTTTTTCGTCTATGGGCAATAATAGCCAAATTATTAAATTTAAGGGAGTACAGCTTAAAGCAGAAGACAAATTCTGCATTTTAAAAATGCTAAATTTACTTGAATCTAACGGATAATCGTAAAATGGTTGCATTGACAAAAACGTATAGCCTATCAGGAAAATCTCGTTGTCAATACTTTTTACAATGAAGCGAAATGTGCATGTATAGTAAGTTATCAAAAATATCGTAGTATTACAGGCATTTACCTGTATATAATATCCAATATTATGTGTTGCATTTCCGGAAGCGGCCACTGACCCTTTTGGGTATCTTTACCTGATTTTGTAAATAGCACTGTAATTTTAGTACTTCTGTAACCGTCCTATATTAAACATCAAACAAAGGTCCTTCGAGCAATATCAAGGTACAATTCGGAAGATCATACATGGTCGTATCAACCGGATTACAAAAAACGTTGGTACTACGATTCGGATTGTACGAAACATTGGCACTTCAAGCCGGAACATTGGTCCCTCGAGCCGGAACCATTATGTTATATGTATATATGAATTCATTGTATTTTTTTAACTTACAAAGAAATCTGCTTATTCTAATAGGCAAAGATAATCTTGTAATTCGTCAAAATTTGTTTAGGTGTGGTCTTGGCGGCATAACTTCTATTTTTGTTTTTTTTTTTCAGTTGTCAGATTTGATGACGTTTCCATGTTGGAGATTTTTTCACTCGTTTCCTTTAGCATTTCTTTCGTTTCGCACATGTGTTTTGTATTTGTTTCAAATCTAGAATAAAACTATGTTCATTAGCATTAGTACATAAATAATTGCAGTAATATACCTTTTTTTTATGGCGCCTCATTTTCAAAAACAATCACCGGAAGTTCTTCATAATCAGTGGGAGTATCTTCAGTGATTAATGGTGGTCTTTCTTAAAAAAAGTGCTTTTGTTATTGTACGAAGGTACATCCCAAAAAATACTATTCGTTGAATTATGTAGCGTTGTTTATTAGATGGTGGTTGCGGACAGACTCGTAGTCCGTTCGAAATATACATTGAATTGAACAGTGAAACGGGTGGGGGTAGAAACATGGGGTTGGTACCAGTGGTACCAACATGCTCCCCCACGTTGAAGCCAATTCTTCGATAAAAAATATATATACAATACAATAAAATAATCGTAACAAAATTATCAAATTAAAGTCCTTGAAAATAATAGTGCTGACGCGCTTATGTTTCCAGCGGTATCGCACACACCTTTTTCACAGATCGCTTAAACAGGCCATTCGCGGTTTTTACGGTCACTACGCGCACCACACTATCTTCACCAGGATGAAGTTCTGCAATTCGTCCCAGTTTCCATTGCATGGGCGGTAGATTTTCCTCCATTAGCACCACCAATGTGCCGACGTCGATGGCTGTTGCTGGACCCCGCTGACCCTTTGGTCGGCATTGTAGCTGCGATAGATATTCCTTATGCCAACGCTTCCAAAAATGTTGCTGTAGCTGTTGAACTCTTCTCCAATCTCCATCGAGATAATCGGTTGCTTGGGATCACTATGAGGTCTTCCTCAGCATGGGCCGTAATGGGTGCCCCAATTAAAAAATGACCCGGCGTTAAGGCGTCGAGATCGTTAGGGTCACAGGATATGGGTGTGATAGGTCGTGAATTCAAACAAGCTTCGATCGCTGTTAAAACCGTGTAAAATTCCTCGTAATTTAAATTAGCGTCACCTACTACTCTTTGCAAATGCTGTTTAACACTTCTGACCGCTCTCTCCCACAAACCTCCGAAATGTGGGGACCCCGGAGGAATAAAATGAAATTTTATGTTTTGGCAGGTCAATCGCTCGGTTATTTTGTTTTGGAAGGCTTGGGCACGAAAGAGCTGCCGCTCGGCTCCTACAAAATTCGTGCCGTTATCGGAAAATATTTCCGCTACCTTACCTCGCCGCGAAGTAAACCGTTTTAAGGCCGCTAAAAAACCCTCGCTAGTTAGATCTCCTACCAGCTCCAAATGTACTGCCTTGGTACTGAAGCATATAAATAGAGCGATGTATGCCTTGACCTTTTTGGCGTTGCGAGTTCGACCTTCCTTTATCAAAAAGGGTCCGGCGTAATCAACGCCCGACACATGAAATGGGCGCGTTAATTGTACTCTTTGTCTCAGCAGATTGCCCATTTTCTGAGTAAATGGCTTGGGATTGACGCGACTGCATTTCGTACAATGGTGAATTATTTTCTTAGTGGTATCCCTAGCCCCCAATGGCCAGAATTTTTGTCGTACCGCTGTCACCGTCCCGCTGGTACCTGCGTGCAATTCCCGCTCATGCATATGTCTTATTATTGTTTTTGATACGTGATGATTACGCGGCAGAAGTATTGGGAACCTTTTATCAAATGAAATTGGGGCATTTTTTAAACGTCCCCCTACTCTTAAAAGCCCGTTGCTGTCCACAAAAGGATCAAGTTTTGACAGCTTATGCTGTTTAGCCTTAATGGGATTACCGGTGAAATATTCAGGAAAAGCTCGTACCTGAATATGTTTAAATATTATTGTTTGAGCCTCGTTTAATTCTTCTACCGACAATGCGCCTTTGATTTTAGTTTGCTGCTTACAATTTTTAATAAATCGTAAGCAGTATGATATGACCCGTTGCAATTTTTCAAATGATGAATATTTGGATATAACTGGTAACTCTGGATCTATATTAACGACATTAATAGTAACTAACGACTTCCTTTCTGTGTTAAGCGCAACTTCTTCGTATTCGTTATCTGAAAGACTAGGCCAATTATTTGATGTTTGGCGTAGCCAAGTCGGCCCGTGCCACCACAAGGTAGATTGATTTAATTGCCGTGGAAATAGACCCCTAGAAACCATATCGGCGGGGTTATCCTTAGAACAAACATGATGCCATTCTGCGATTAAACTATGTTTTTTCACGTACGCTACTCTGTTGGCAACATATGGTTTCCAATTATTTGGAGATTCTGCTAGCCATGCGAGGACAATGGTAGAGTCAGTCCAGAAATATCTACGATCTATGTTTAGATTTAAAATGCTATTTACCTTGATAAACAATTTAATTAATAATACCGCGGCGTTTAGTTCTAAACGAGGTAAAGTCACTGTGTGTAATGGTGCGACGCGAGATTTTGCACATGCCAACCTAACTGAAACGTCACCTGATTGATATATAACCCTTATATAAATGGCTGCGCCATATGCCTTTGTTGAAGCATCCGAAAAACCGTGGATTTCAACAGCCATATAGGGATAGGAGATTATTAATTTGCGTGTTATGTTATAATTCCTTAGATCCTTCAGCTCGTTAACGAATTTTGTCCAAGCATTTTGAAATGTGGGCGGTACCGGTTCGTCCCAATTCAATTTTAATTTCCATAAACCCTGTAGTAGAATTTTGGCCTTTACAATTACTGGATTAACTAGCCCTAAAGGATCAAATATTTTAGCCACGCTTGACAATATGTGCCGTTTTGAAATTTGTTCAGATTCAATTAGTGGAATGTTGACTTGATATCTTAATTCGTCATTTTGACAATGCCAGAAAAATCCTAAAACCTCAACTTCGCTTTCTTTATTCCAACTAACTGATGTTAAGGGTTCCGATTCAGCCACAACTGATTGGGCCGGTATATTTGACGCCCATTTACAAAGCTTAAATCCCCCCTTTATTAAAATCTGTGAAAGTTGATCCCTGATTAGAACAATTTCCTCTACTGAATTACTGCCTGTTAGAAGGTCGTCCATATAAAAATCCCGATTTATTATTTCGCTGGCTAAAGGATAAGTATTTTGGGCTTCCGCCGCTAGCTGTTGCAGACAACGTACTGCTAAATATGGTGCACAGGTTGTACCGTATGTTAACGTTTTCAACCTAAATGTTTGAACTGGTTCATCGTTACTAATTCTCCAAAATATCCTTTGATAATTTGTGTCCTGTTCGTCAACAAGTATCATTCTATACATTTTTGTTATGTCCCCGGAAAGGACGTACTGGTAAGTTCGAAACCGACAAAGGAGTGAAAACAAGTCCCCTTGTATTGTAGGGCCCGTCATTAAAACATCATTTAAGCTTAAGTTATTGGAGGATTTTATGGACGCATTGAATACCACTCTTATTTGAGGACCATCGGGTGTTTGTTTAAAGACCGGATGATGGGGCAGGTAGAAGGTTTTGGGAATTCCTAATTCCTTCGTTGGGACAAGTTCCATGTGGTTTAACGCTAAATACTCCCTCATAAAATTTTGGTAATTTAATTTGAGTAAAGGATTCCTTGCCAGGCGTCTTTCAAGACTGTAAAATTGTTTGAGTGCTAATCCGCGCGAATGACCCAAAGTAGCCTGGTCTTTGAATGGCAGCCTTACCATAAATTTGCCCTGTACATCCCGATGGGTATTTTCAAGGAAATGAGATTCTATTGTACACGATTCGCCGAAGTTGGGTTCATCGACACTTTCTTGTTGCCAAAAATTTGCTACCTGTTCATTTAGTTGTAAATCGGCAGATAATGATAAAATATTACAGGATAAATTTTGGTTGCGATTTTCAGCTGTAGAAACCTTCCCGCTGACTATATGCCCAAAAATAGTTTCTTGTAAAAATGGTTGATTCGGTTTGAACCGAGTTGGACTACCAATCAAAAGGCTCCAAAATATTTCAGCACCGATAAGTAAGTCTACTTCGCGTGATTGTTCGAAATCGGGATCCGCTAAAATGATATTTGGGGGTATACGTATTTTACCTTTATCAATTGACAGTGCTGGTGTGCGTTCCGTAATTTTAGGCACAACTAAACAATTAAAGGAGATTTCAAATTCATTAATTCGAGACTTAACAGTTATATTAACACGCTCAGTAACAGAATTTATTGAACCATTGATTCCCGATATGAAGGTATTTATACCCCTTGGATTTAGATTCAATTTTTTGCACAAGTTATTAGTTATCACATTAGCTTCTGAACCTTGATCTAGTAAGGCACGACATGGATGCAGTTTGCCGTTATTATCTTTAATTAATAAAAGTACTGTTGATAAAAGGACTTGACTAGGTGTCGATACATGCAATGCGGAAGTAGATGGCTCGAAATTATTAATGTGCAGTAAAGTATGGTGTTTTTGACCGCAAGTTTTACAGAGTTTTGGCGACTTGCATTGTGTTACATTATGATTGGTTCTAAAACAATTATGACAAAGTTTTAATTCATCTACTTGTTTCATTCGATCTGTGACCGATTTACCCAAAAATTCAGTACATTGGAAAATGCCATGCGGACTCTTGCAAATTAAGCACATAATTTTTGTCACGACATTTGTTGAAAATAAATTTTGAGCTGGCCTTTGAGAAAATTTAAACGGTTGCTTCACTTGCTTAGAATAAGTCGAATTAAATTTTGGTTCACTATTGCTACTTGAATGTTTCATTGCATTTAAAGCCTCTAATACCTGATATCTCTTTTCTAAAAATTCATTAAGTTTTTTATAAGTAGGAAGATCCTTATCCAAACCGATTTGCCATTCCCGCCTGGTCGCGAAGTCCAATTTTTCGGTAATTATAGCGATTAAAAGCGAATCCCATGTTTCTACCGGTTGGTTTAACACCTTTAACGCTGCGATGTTATTATTAAGTGTATCAAGTAATTGACGGAGATCTGAATATGATTGTTTTAATATATTTGGAATATTCAAAATATTGCTTATGTGTTCTTGGACAATAATTCGTTTATTTTCAAACCTCTGCCTTAGTAATTCAATTGCACTAGCATAATTATCGCCTGAGACTGCGAGACATTCGATGGCTCTGAACCAGGGATGTTGCGAATATTCGCATCCGCATCCGCAAATGCGGAGCTTCCGCATTGATTTGGACATCCGCATCCGCATCCGCAATAATCAATGCGGAACTCATGCGGATGCGGATGTAAATGTGGTGCAAGTCGCGACAAGAAAGAAATTAGTTGGAGCCGACGAGTGACGCATAGCGTGCACTCGTGATGCATTGACCAATAGGAAGACAAGAATTCTACTTTCGGTGTTCCGTTTCGCACATCAGAACGTGTTTAGTCGGGGTTGCGCGAATTGTGAACGTTTTGTTTTTGTGTTATTGGACAAGTGAATCTACAATGGCACCAACGATGCAAAGTGAGATTTGGACTTATTTTAAACCGATGATGATCGAAATAAAGCTCAGTGTATAATATGTAATAAAACATATTCTCGCAAGGGTCGTACCACTTCGTCTTTGAAAAATCATCTGATTAATCGTACCGAATTAAAAATTTTATCTGGAATAGCACGCAGATTTTTATCGCCTCCACCAACTAGTGTTCCCAGTGAACAGTTATTTAGTAGTGCAGGATTAATTTATGAACTTCTGAGAAATAGACTCGAATCTGAAAAGGCCGCAATATTACTTTTTATTAAATATAATTCAACAATTTTTAAATTTTCGTACTAAAAATTTGTTTATTAAATAAAAATATTAAAAACCCACATTTTTTTAACTGATTTCTGTACATATACTAAGTTTCTTAAAAAAAAACTTGAGATCCGCATCCGCATCCGCATCCGCGGATGTGAGCTCCCAAAAATCCGCATCCGCATCCGCGGATGTTGAAAAATCTGCATCCGCAACATCCCTGCTCTGAACGCTTCGTCTTTTAAACACCCGCGGAGATAATGGAATTTTCTGATATCAGAGATACAATTATCATCGTGAACTAGTGACTTGTATGAATCATAAAATGTGAACCATTCACAGTGCTTACCTGTGAATATCGGCAACGGCAATGGTTTTAAATTTGCAATTAACTCTGACCTATCCATGGAACTAGAACTATTGAAATTAATAACGGTCGAGTTTGTTTTATGCGACGAGTTTGATGAACTAGGATTATTTTTGATTATTAACGATTTAATTTGACCTGCTGTTTTATAAAACTGATTCTCAACCTGGGCACGTTCTCTATCATTTTCTACGTCCCAAGTTTCTTCATCTTTACTAATATCTTCGCGTTGCAACACCTCAATTTGCGCTTGAACATCATTATATTTCTGTAAACTGTCCGTAAGATTATTTAACCGCATTTCCAGTTCCTGAATACCGTCTTGTTCGCTGATACTGTTCTGAATTCGCGTGATCATCCCTTTTAAGATTTTACGTTGATTTTTCAGCTCTTTTAAATTGTTCGCCATGCTAATAGTGGGATAAAAACTGCCAAAAATGCCGACGATTTGCAATGAGTAGCAGGCAAACGTATCCAAAATACCGTACCGAATACAACGGTGAAACTTGTTTGAATACGAATAATGTGAGGGGCATACAAAGGAAAAAAGGAATTGATCTGACCTTACAACCAAGTGGATGCTTCGTCTGTCCTCTGAATTTCGATAGTTCGGTCTTCCCTCGAATGAATTTTCGCCTTGAAGAAATCACTGCAACGGTGATCGTATATTGTCGATTGATTTCTTGTTTTGACCACTGCAATGGTGATCGTATATTGTTGATTGATTTCTTGTTTTGACCACTGCAATGGTGATCGTATAACGTAGAAGATGCGTGTACTGAACTAACGCGAGTTTTACGACTATCTGCACTAAACGCGAGTTTTGCGAATTACTACACTAGCCGCGAGTTTTACAAATAACTGCACTGGTTATCGTATCCGGCTCGAAGGACCATAAAATGTACGAAGGTACATCCCAAAAAATACTATTCGTTGAATTATGTAGCGTTGTTTATTAGATGGTGGTTGCGGACAGACTCGTAGTCCGTTCGAAATATACATTGAATTGAACAGTGAAACGGGTGGGGGTAGAAACATGGGGTTGGTACCAGTGGTACCAACAGTTATCTACGTACTGTTATCAAAAATAACAGAAACATGTAAAAATTAAAATGATTACTTTATTAGATATTAACTTTAAGTATAACCCACACTGTACAGAAATTTTCACAAAACTGCGTTAAAAATGAAGTGAGTAACGGATACACGAGAAAGTTTCGGCAGTTGAGAACCAAGTAGCCAATAACACGTGACGTCATGTTGTGGCGGGAACTCAGCGTTTGACAAGCGCCGTGAAACTCCGTAAGCGACAATGTTAACATTTTCGCATTTTATTTAAAAGTATGGATATTTATCTAGAAAATAAACACGTCAATAGCTTCTTTCATATCTTTTCTGTGTATCAAGGTGTTTTTTTTGGCGATTTGAGTTTAGAAATACATAATAACAATAAAAATACAGAACGCTGTTTTGGTCTGAATTCCTCGTCACCCAAAATACATCCGTGTGTTTTAAGGGGGTAATCGGAAATTAATATTTTCGTTTGAGGCTAATGTGACGGGTTTAAGTAAAGGTGTGTGATTTGTTTTTAAAGTATGGATAATTTAAGTGATTATGCACGATGTCTTTCCGTCGAAGACAAACACAGATATGTATAAAAGTTAAACAATTTAAACGGCGTAGATCCTTATACAATGAGGGCAAGTGATTTTAGTTTATGTTTAGACGATGTCCCTACCATAACAATGAATACCATTCTAAACTTTTTTGTTTTTAGAGTAAGTAAAATAACCCACAATAAAACTCGTGCCTTCAAAAGTCTAGAGACATTTATTCAATTTTCTCTTTTTTAAACAACTGTGTCTTTCAACATTACAAGTATTATGAGTGGATTTATTTTGATATTCTAAATTTTGTGATGGAACATAATCAGGATGATCCACATCCGACAAATCTGCAGGTTTACCTAAAAGAGTACCAATGTAGTAATTTGTTAGAAACTGTAAATCTAATAGGTAGGTATTGTACCTAAAATAAAATGATCCGAACAAACATAGGAATACTTTACTTTGGCTTCGTTAAATCCACTCGTTTCAAGGCTTTTAACCAAAACTTCCGCCTTTTTCCCCATCCTGTATATATTTACCATTATTGTTGCTAATTGCTGCGAAAGGAATATAAAATTTGTCCGCATTTCTGGTGCTTCGATTTGCGCAACCCACAACAGCACAAAATTTAGGCATTTTCTCCTAAAATACAAAATATTATAATATATATTAAGATGCTAGTGTATTTAAAAAACATTGATGTACATTAACAAAGAATTAATTTGCAAAACAAATAATATAAGATGCAGCGAAGTTAACCTGTACATCACATTGGAAAACATTATTTTTTAAGCATATTCAAACGTTATGGTGCGTTTTACAGATATCTACACAGTCTAGAAACTGTAACAAACTTACCAAATTATAAAAACACAGTTGACACACTCTCAAATTTAAATGAATTCCGAAAATATTAGCATTGACTCTTATGAGAAAACCGGCTAGTTGTCAAACGCTGCCATCTTGATGACCTCGGATGACGTCAGTGTATTTGGCTAACTGGAAATATTAGGATGCTTCACTGTGAAGTGCAATAAACATAAATACCGAAAAAAGGGAAAGTCCGAATGCAAGTTATGTTGACGAGCAACCCAAAGTCCAAGAGATAGTCAAGTGGTCAAGTCCACATGAACTCTGTAATCTTAATAATACAAATAATCCAATTGTATATAAACCAAATTTTCAAATGTAATATTATTATTAATAAACTTGTTACGCTGTAAGTTGGTGCTTCTGAATAAATTTTTTTGAGACTTGTCTGAATCAACAAGTTAATTGGCGCAGTCGGTAGGATAACGCGGTCGTGAAAAAACGTGTATCGAACAAAAGTTTTCGCGATGTGGAATTTTAATTCCTTAAGCGTTATTCGTAAAACAAAGAAGTACCAACGCCGCTTCGAAGATTTGCATCACGACAAACTCGAAGAGGTTCCTGAAGAAAAGTGAAGAGGACCCAACATCAAGTTAGGCCTGGAAGAAAATTACTTCAAGTGGAAAGCCAACATCACGCTACGGTGAGTCTGAGCATCCCATCTTTCTTTTTCTTTTCTTTTTCCCTTTTGAAATTCACGCAAAAATCGTTTTGCTTTCGTTTTGTTCTTATTTTTCTTTTCTCAGAATTTATATATATCTTAATACATATATATAAATATAAATTAATTAATTAACTAAGTAATACTTAATTTTACGAGTAGCGATTCGAGTGACGAACTAGATTCGTTAATAAGACATTTTGAAACTATAGTTAGTCTTGAAAACAAAAAAGAAACAAAAATGCCCGATAATAATTTTGATTATCAACTCATGAGGTTGTATGTAAATACAATATCGTCATACAATGGTGATCAAGATACCTTAGAAATTTTTATATCATCTTGCGAATATCTTTTTCAAAACATTGACGTTAGTTCAGCTCCACACGTAAAATCGTATTTATTGAGAGTTGTTGTTGGTAAATTAACTGGCAGAGCTCAAATTTTAATAGGAACTAGAACAGAGTTAAATACATGGTCACTGATAAAAAAGGCCCTCCGCGCAAACTTCGGAGATCAACGCAATTTAGATTGCCTTGAGCAAGACTTAATCACTGCCTTTCCTTTTAAAAACGAAGCGCCGTTAGAATTTGGCAAACGTTTACAACTTATGAGGAGTAAACTTTCGACCAAATTAAATTCGTTTGACGTTTTGGAAATGAATGACGCCACAAAAACAGTATATTCGAATCAATATGACAGCTTAGTTCTGAAAACCTTTCTTCGTGGTCTTTCTGGCACTTTACAGAGTATAATCCGATTAAGAAACCCCACATCTCTGGAATCCGCCATGTCTTATGTCGTAGAAGAAGAAAACTTCCGATATACACAGAACTTCGCCCATCTTGTTCAACACAATAAACAATCGCCCCAAAAAAACCAACCATTTCGACAACAGTTGCCGCCATCTCACAATCGTCCCAATTTTTCAAATAATTATGTCAGACCCCAAAACGCATATCCAGTCCAACAGTCTTTTAATCACCAGTACGAAACTCAACAACCGCAATTTTTTAGTCAACCACAATTTCCAAATCGACCCATTAATTTAAGTAGAAACCCAAATCCACCAAAACAGAGATTTCTAACAAATTCCCAAGTATTCGTGAGACCCAAAAATGCATTTAGGCCAACTGGTCAGATACCAGTCGAAAAACCAACCCCAATGTCAACAACATCTCGAAACCCCACGATTAGAACCCAAGCACAGCCCATGTCAATTGCATATAGGTCGCCACAAAACTTCAGTCGTCCTAATTTCCATCATAACGCCTCTAAACCCAGTCAAAATTTCATATCTGAAGAATTATACCAAATAGATGACGAACAACAAATAGAACAAGGAGCATGTTGTTTCGCTACAAATAGTGAAAGCAATTACAATAACTACGAAAATCCCGCTAATGATATTGATCAAACAGACCATCAGTATCAATCGAACGACGAACTTTCCTACCAAACAGATAATTATGATTATCAGCAAATTAATGACGAAGATATCGAAACAAATACTGAACCAAATTTTCCATCAAACAGCCTATTTTACGATCCGAGATAACAACAGAAATAAATAACATAACCTTTTGCAATTCATTGCCATATGTAAAAATCAGTAACCCTCCAATGAAACTTTTAATTGATACAGGATGTAATATTTCTATATTAAGACCATGGATTGCAGAACGTTATTATCCCCACGAGATTTTTAGAGAACCATGTAAAATTAAAGCGGCTACAGGTGAAAAAATTTTAGAATTTAAAGCCAATATACCTGCATTTCCAGAACTTAAAACTGATAAAATAATCAACTTCTTGCTCTATGATTTCCACGATTTTTTCGATGGTATTTTGGGAATAAAAGATTTAACAGATATGAAATTAAACATTGATTTAGTGAATAAAAACCTAAGTAATAAAGACGCGACGATTCCTTTCCATTATAGACAAGCACATGAGAATTCGTATACCTACTTTTAGTTTAGACTGTCACGAAATTTTACAAATAAAAGCACCTGTTGACCATCCAAAAGGGAATATAATCATCCCTGAACAAGAAATTGATAATCTTTATATTCCGGAAACTCTTACTACAGCCGAAAATGGTCTTACCATAATGGAAGTTCATAACAAAACTAATTCGAGGAAAACAATTACATTAAAAAAACCTCTGAAAGTCGTTCCGTTTTCCGAAAATGTTATGGAGCAGTTCGACTTATTCTCAGTAGAATCGTTCTTACCACAAAAAGATGTAACCGAAAGTAAACAAAAAACCATCGGAAGTTTAATTCGAACAGAACATCTAAATAGCGAAGAAACACACGCCATCAAAACATTATGTCGAGAATTTGCAGATATATTTCATACAGAAAATAAAAAACTCTCCTTTACAAACAAAATTAAACATAAGATTAATACGACAGACGACATTCCGATTCATACGAAAACTTACCGTTATCCATTCGTGCATAAACCAGAAGTCGAAAAACAGATAAGAAAAATGTTAAACGACGGTATAATCAGACCATCACAAAGTCCATGGAGTTCTCCGATTTGGATTGTACCAAAAAAACAAGACGCCAGCGGAAAACAGAAATGGAGAATTGTAATTGACTATAGAAAGATTAACGAAAAAACAGTGGATGACCGTTATCCCATTCCTAACATAACAGATATTTTAGACAAACTCGGAAAATGTCAATATTTTAGCACATTAGACTTGGCCTCAGGGTTTCATCAGATAGAAATGGACCCAGATTCAGTACAAAAAACCGCATTTAACGCAGAAAATGGCCATTATGAATTTGTCAGAATGCCATTTGGCCTAAAGAACGCCCCTGCCACATTTCAGCGCGTAATGGACGATATTTTAAAAGATCTACAGGGTAAAGTCTGCTTAGTTTATATGGATGACATCATAATATTTTCGACTTCTTTACAGGAACATATCTCCAATTTAAAACTTGTATTTAAAAAACTTCGTAATACCAATTTTAAGATTCAGCTAGACAAATCTGAATTTCTACGAAAAGAGGTAGAATTCTTGGGTCATGTAGTGACACCAGACGGTGTGAAACCGAATCCAAAAAAAATAAAAGCAATCAAAAATTTTCCAATACCGAAAACATCAAAAGAGATCAAATCATTTTTAGGCCTTCTCGGATATTATCGCCGGTTTATAAAAAACTTCGCAAAAATAACAAAACCTTTTACACAATGCTTGAAAAAAGGCGAAAAAATAGAGCACACACAAGAATTCGTACAAACGTTCAACTACTGCAAAAACATATTATGCAACGACCCAATACTTCAATACCCTGATTTCGACAAACCGTTTAATTTAACGACAGATGCGTCAAACGTCGCAATTGGTGCTGTGTTAAGCCAAGGAAAAATAGGAAATGATTTACCTATTGCATATGCCTCAAGAACATTAAATCCAACAGAATGCAATTATAGTACGATAGAAAAAGAGTTGCTAGCGATTGTTTGGGCAACTAAGTACTTTCGACCCTATTTGTTCGGACAAAAATTCACAATAATAACAGACCATAAACCGCTACAGTGGCTGTTTAATCTGAAAGAACCAAATTCCAGGTTAGTAAGGTGGAGACTCAAATTAGAAGAATACAATTATAACATTGTTTACAAAAAGGGCAAACAGAATACGAACGCTGACGCACTTTCGAGAATCGAAATAAACACCATCGATAACGACGAAACATCTTCCCTCGCTGTTAATGTTGGTGATAACGAACAAGAAATCGAACTACTCAATGATTACTTAAGAAACCCAGATAAGATACAGGTTCCAATCAGTCCAACACTAACGAACATAATAGAAAAACCGAAAGATACATCAAAAATTATAATATTGTCAGATATTCAGATTAAACCACCAGATCGAGATCTAAGTGAGAACGAAACAGTTCACACATCGGTAGAAAATCCCATAACCGAAATCCCTATTACAGACAAACCCCTAAACTTTTATAAAAACCAAGTAATTGTGCACTGCAGCAGAGATCTCATAACACCGAAAGTAAAAGTTCAAAAAATTTTCGAGAAAATTCGTCTCACGATTTCTATCCCGTTTGCGAATTTCGAAACACATCTGATAAGTACAATAAAACACTACCTCGATTTAAAACAGACATACGCATTATATTTTAAAACACCTGAAATAATGCCGAGATTTCACAAAACCGTACAAATGTACTTTAGACACGCCTCTTACAAATTTGTAAAATGCAATTCCCTCTTAACAGATATCGTAAATTCCGAAGACCAAATTGAAAAAATAAAATACCATCATGAAGGAAAAACCTGTCATAAAGGAATCAATGAAGTAAAAGCTTCACTTTCAAAAAATTGGTATTGGCCTAGCATGTTAGAAAACATCACGAATTATATTAATAATTGCAAAACATGCCAAGTTGCTAAATACGAACGTCATCCACCCATTATTAAATTTAATCTAACCCCAACGGCTAATAAACCTCTTGAACACGTCCACATAGATACCTTTAAAATCTTAAATTCTTCTTTTTTGACAATAATCGACAGCCTTTTACATTTTATCTCGCATCATGGACTTCCC